ACGCGCTCCCATTGGTCCATACGAGTCAGAGACGCAACCCAAAATGGCGCTCCCCCTCGTGCTTTCGGATTGTGCCACAGGTGATGGGACGCTCTTTTGTTAGCTGACCCAAGAAGCTCACCTCCTCTCGATCGAAACGTCGGACATCATGCCAAAGATTAGCGCAGTACAACCCAAAAACACCGAATGACTAAACAACACAACCGCGACACCCAATATTGTTGCAACTCAATACATATTTAAAATATATTGGGTTGCAACAATATTTAAAATATATTGAAATCGGCGACCCGGATAGTATTGGCAATACATTGATTCTTGAACCATATGGAAATATATACTCCCTGGGTCTTTCTGTCAAGTCACGTAAATAGCAATAATAGATCACGACATTTCGATTGCAACACAAGCAATCATCGATTGCTTGTGTTGCGATCGAAGAGATTGAAACGTCGCGATCTATTATTTCTATCTACGTGACTTGACCGAAAGACCCAGAGAGTTTGAATTCCTGCAGTCACGAAAGCTTTAAATCAAGATTCACATGGAAATATATTTTAAAAATTCAACTTTAACTGTGTTCTATGGCAGCGAAGTTGATTCTGTTAAAATAATATCACGAATCTGCATGTGTAAGCCATGTTAGAGCTGCCTCCCACAATGCATTGTATTAAAGTGTACAGCAGTCTCGCTTTAGTGACGGCAACGCCACAGCGTGATGTGGAGGCGCAACTGATTTTGACTTCAAAGTATTTGTCTTGATATTGTGACAGTCTAAGTGTGTAGCTACTAGAGAAGACCTGTTTAATGTATTGGGTTGTGTCTCCCTTTAAACTCAAGAGCTTCCCAAACTACAGTCCTCGCGACCAACCACAAAACTCGACAATACAAACAAAACTAACAACAACAACACAGTAACACAACAACAGCTGGTGTTAGATAGAACACGACAAACCAGCCGCTCACCAACCACACCGCAACAAACACGCCGCCATTATCCACGTGCGGCAACACGTAAAAGACACGTAACGGCAACACAAACACGACAATGTGCTGTAGGCTATACCACATTGGAACGCGAAGTGACAGCTAAAAGCCAGTATTGCTTTCGTTTTCACACAGAGACCTTTTCATAAAAACTCATGATATAAATCATCTTAATCATTATCATTAACACCATCATCATCATCATCGTGGCCAGCCAGTATGACCTTTGACACAGTACTGCCCTGCGGTAACCATCAGCGAGCCCCAGGGGGCAGCCGCCGTGATGTATGAACTTCTTGAGCGCCGTACCTAGCCAACAGTGCTAATCGGAGGTGCGGGGAATGACAACAAACTAAACACAAAAGCAGTTTTAAATAAATTAGTTTTCAGTCTAAATGATTTAAAAGTGCATCGCTCCTAATATCGGAAGGAAGAGCGTTACAGACGGCCGCAGAAGCGCATCTGAAAGCGCCGCGCGATGCGGTGACCGTCAAAAACAGCCACTGCGAGGATGATCACCGGAGTTCGCAGTGATTGATGGTTTATGTCCCTTGACGAGTTCAGCAAAGGCATTATGGGTTCATTTGTGGCAACCACTTTGTGCGCAATAAGTGCGATGTGATGTCATCACTTCTTAGAGAAAGCTGTCACGTGATTATAAATAGAGCATCCGTGTGCACACGGAGGAGCTCCTTCAGGGATCAGTGCAATCGACGCTGTCACATCGAAGGATCGAGATTGAGCTGAGCACAAGTCATCGCCTGCAGAGTTGGTGATGAACCGGCGAGCGATTGGTTGGAAGAATAGATTACTTAATCGTTATCGTTTTTGCCCCCTCCGTCTCGTCATGTGTTCTGTGTGATATCATCATCACCGTCATCGAATAAGTATGCGGTTCTCTTATATAACCGCAACGAATCGATTCACGCACGAACAAATGGATGTGACTAATCGCGAGCAAGAAAAAAACAAAATCGAATCCGATCGATGCATCGTTTTCGTCAGCACGCGCCCTTTCGGCGTCTCACGAACGGCTCCAGTCGATCGAGTTGCGAGCAACTCGCTGCAGATTGACCCTTGGAAAATGTAAACAAAATAACCTGGCGATGATTGCTGCAGATGCTGCGATTAGCAGTATCGTAAAAGCGCAGTTGACAATTAAAAAAAACTCAACGCGTTCATCAATAACACTGCGTGGCTTTAAATTATAAAATATATAAATGGCTCTCCTTCATAGCACACATATATGGAAAGTTAAGACGTTCAAAACACTGAGATGTTTGTCTCAATGGCCGTGACCTAGTTTATTTGAGGGTTGTTATCAGATAACCGGTAAACCGGTTTTTCATAATCGATTACCGCTCTTTTAAAGTCACGAACCGGTAACCGTTACCAGTGGAATGTTAGTAGCGAGTGCCCCAAACGGCACGCGCGAACGGACAAACCGCACGGCGGCCCAAGTCGCCGAGTGGTAAAAAATGTTTCCCACTAGTTTTTTTTACGTTCAAAAGGTACAAATGTTATATTTACTCTATATATGCGGAAACCCGGTAACCGATTTTTTTACCGGTTTTTCATGCGGTTACCGCTAATGCAACAACAAAAACATCGATTTGAACAACCCTAGTTTATATATATATAGCAATGTATGCAGTAGAGTGCCTACATGTATGTGTGTGTACGTGTATATATAGGTATATGTCTCTTTATGTATACAGGATAGGTGCGCGTGTGTGTACGTAAGGCTATAAGAGGATCTTTGTATATTATAGGGAGCGGTGGGGCAGTGGTTAGCGCACTGCGCTACTAAACACGGCGACCGGAGATCGATCCCCGTTCACAGCCAACATCGGTGACGAATATCTGAACCGGTCCCTGGGCTCTCCCCGAGGTCGACTCAGCCTTAAACCACTACCTGGTGGGGTGTGTAAAAACATTAGCTCTGGGGAGACAAAGGCGGCCGGGCGTGGTGGTGCCCCCCCCCCCCACGTGTGCCGTCCCGGCCTTCAGAGGTTACTACTCGCTAACAGCACTTTCCCCAACAGTTTGTTAAGGCTATACGCGGGAGATCTTTGTATGTATCTTTGTGTGCACACACGTGTGTGCTGTGCACGTGTGTGCTGTGCACGTGTGTGCTGTGCACGTGTGTGCTGTGCACGTGTGTGCTGTGCACGTACACACCTGTGCGCACACCTGTGCATGCACAAAGATACATACAATGATCTCCCCCGTATAGCCTTAACAAACTGTTGGGGCAAGTGCTGTTAGCGAGTAGTAACCTGCACGCGTCAGTGACGAATCCACGGTGCCGAAGCGCATTTGGAGTTTCTCAATTGAATCCACCTGCCCGCCTGATTATCAACCGAGACCGGGGAAAACCCGGAGTGAAGTTTTTTTTAGTTTCAAAGCCTCCTCAACTTGGATTCTGGAGCCACCGCCACTGCTTGGCTCCACGCGGTGACAGAGGTAGGAGGAGGCGTTTGTGAATCATTCAAGCGCTTGAGTCGAGGACTTTCAGCGTCGTTACAAACAGCATCGCGCCGCATGTAAACCGAGCCCGGGTCGCGCCCGGTTCACGATGGGAACAAACACCGGCTCCGTGAAATAAACCACAGGCCTCTGCCAATCAGGAGCGAGCGTGGTGCCCACGTGGAGCGGTACAACGGCCGGGCCACGTGGAGTTGGAGGCGCAGAGGCCTTGCGGGTTGTCGGTAGGCACGTGACGAGCATTCCTCTTCACACGCTTTCTCGTGGTACAATCGCGCGGATTATCGAATATTGCGACGTATTGCAGCCGATGTATAGACGTGGGGTTATTGTGCGCGCTCATCAAGTTACGGCGAGGCTGGTGGAACGAATGAAGGAGTCGACGAGCTGGGAGATGCGCAGCGCACGGGAGAGACCGAGAGACCGAGAGGTGACACAAGAAACGAAAGAGCCCTCGCTCGCCAGGCGAACGATGCACACGAGACGGGGTGCGAACGAGGCAGACAGACGAGAGACAACAGATGGAGGACGCAAACGAGGCGGTTCGAACGAGACGAACAATACAAACGAAACGGCGTTAACGAGACGGTAGCACAAAAACACAACGATACCGATGGTACAAATGAGACGGATATTTGTTTTTAAAGTAAAAATCTAATATCGATCTCCGAGTCGTGGTATTTCTGAGAAGGTGCGGAGTAGGGAGGTGGGTGGGGGGAGTCGCTAGGGGCCGTGAGCTGTCACGGTTCTGCGCAGCGCTTGGCAGCAGCGATAGAATTCTCTACCACTCACTCCGTCGACAATCACGCACACAGACCCACACACAGACCCACAAACAGACCCACATACAGACCCACAATCAGACCCACACACAAACCCACACACAGACCCACACACAGACCCACACACAGACCCACACACAGACCCACACACAGACCCACATACAGACCCACAATCAGACCCACACACAAACCCACACACAGACCCACACACAGACCCACACACAGACCCACACACAGACCCACACACAGACCCACACACAGACCCACACACAGACCCACACACAGACCCACACATGCACTTACACACGCACTTACACACAGACCCACACACAGACCCACACACAGATCCACACACAGACCCACACACAGACCCACACACAGACCCACACATGCACTTACACACAGACCCACACACAGACCCACACACAGACCCACACACAGACCCACACATGCACTTACACACAGACCCACACACAGACCCACACACAGACCCACACACAGACCCACACACAGACCCACACACAGACCCACACGCGCACTTACACATGCACTTACACACAGACCCACACACAGACCCACACACAGACCCACACATGCACTTACACACAGACCCACACACAGACCCACACACAGACCCACACACAGACCCACACACAGACCCACACACAGACCCACACACAGACCCACACACAGACCCACACACAGACCCACACACAGACCCACACATGCACTTACACACGCACTTACACACGCAGACTCCGGCGCACACAGACTCACTCTTGCATTTACACACAGACACGCGCACACGCAGACTCACGCACACAAACTCGCATACTTACACAAAAACTCCCGCACACAGAGACTCGCACTTGCACTAACACATTCAAACACGCACACGTAGACGTATGCACTTACAGACTCAGGCACACATATACTCAAACATAAACACACAGAATCACACATCCACATATACTCGTTTAAGGCTGAGTCGACGTAGGGGTGGCCCATGCTCGGTTCAGACATCAGTCGCGCCACTCGCGTCAATCCTGACCGGGGAAGAAGGGGAACTCGCGTCGCCGCGGGCTGGTGGGAACGCAGTGCGCTAACCACTGCGCCACCGCTCCCCGCGCCACAGACGACTCGCGCAGGCCACTCGTAGACACGCCGGAATAAGTTAGTCGAGATCAGGTAAACAAAACAAACAGCGACAGTAGTTTCAGCACTCTACTCGTCAACAACAACGGCAACCACAACAATAAAACTACGACTATTAATATCAATTACAAGCAGGTGGCAAAGGAGCAGCACTTGCAACTGCCTGGCTCGCGCGCTGCTCTTAGAAGGGCCCCCATGAGAATAACGCTCAGAATGTAATTTGCCGTATCGCTAATTGCAATTGCAGTTGATAACAGTCGTACTAAATCCGTGTCATTACGGTATATGGACAACGAGGATCATACCGGAACGCTGCTGTGTGGTGTAATGGTTGGTTGTCGCGCAGTGTGGACTTGCAAATCCAGTGCGATTCGGTGCGGTTCTATCTCCGGACGCGGCAGTTAAAGGGAGTTTCTTAACCCCCCCCCCCAACCCTCTCCATCCAGCAGTCTTCTACAAACGGGTTCGCCATAGTTAGTCGATCGGCAGGTTGCGTGTGTTGGGACAAAGTGTGGGTAACTCCCACGCCTTATAAGATGTGGAAGCCTAGGCCAAAACACGCGCACATGCCCTCCCTGGCGGGTCTCTCTCTCGCTCTCTTAGAGCTACTGGCGCGGGTGTTAGGCCCTTCCACCAGCAGTGTCTCGAGCCCTGCAATTGCAGAGCCGCGCCTTTGCCGCCCTCCTCCTCCTCGCCATCACCACCACCATAATCATCATCATCGTCGAGGGTAGCAGTGGAGAGTGAGTGCGGAGTGAGCGCCGCACGACGGCGTGGGCCCTTTGTTGTTGTTTACAGATCATCACTTTTATCTCTCTTCATCTTCTTGAGCTTCATGCGCCGGTTCTGGAACCAGATCTTCACCTGCCTCTCGGTGAGGTTGAGACCGCGCGCCACCTCGTAGCGCCTGTCCCGCGTCAGGTACATGTTGAAGAGGAACTCCTTCTCCAGCTCCAGCGTCTGCTGCTTGGAGTAGGGGCAGCGCTTCTTGCGGCCCGCTCGCGCGTGCAGCCAGTGGGCCGACGGGTCGCCTGTGGGGAGGAGGGAGCAGGACAGACGGACACCGTGAGGACCGGGAGTCTCCGGTGGTACAACATCACGCTGGCCAGCCACCCTGCCGTGTGCCGCACTGATGAACTACCGGTGGTACATCACGATGGCCAGCCACCCCGCCGTGTGCCACACTGATGAACCACCGGTGGTACATCACGATGGCCAGCCACCCTGCCGTGTGCCGCACTGATGAACCACTGGTGGTACAACATCACGCTGGCCAGCCACCCTGCCGTGTGCCGCACTGATGAACTACCGGTGGTACATCACGATGGCCAGCCACCCTGCCGTGTGCCGCACTGATGAACCACCGGTGGTACATCATCACAATGGCCAGCCACCCTGCCGTGTGCCACACTGATGAACTACCGGTGGTAGTGATGGTAATTGTACTACCGACTCTCTGGCGAGATGGTACACGGGCAGGCGAGGCGGATACCGTGAGGACTGGAGTATCGCCTGCTGATACTATGAAATAAATGGACAATACACTGCCTTCACATACCTGTCCCTCGACACAAACCAACCTATCTTTAGACATCCCATCAGTCCCACGGACCTTCTGTGAGTGCGTGGTTTTTCTGTGTGTCCATCTGTCAAGCTATGGGACCGACATCGAACAGAGATGAGCCCCTGTCAATCCATGTGGTAGTTCACCATACACGGCATTGGTTCAAGCAAGCCTAACGCTGCTGATGAGACGCTGAAAGTCAAAACCCGTGCCGAGTGTGCTCGTGTTGAACCAATGCTGCTGAGATTCTAAGGGGGTGTGTACAAAACACTTAGCGATTTAAGTGGACAGACAACCACGTGAAGGCAGTCGTGTTTTTGACTCATTATCCGAGTGACGATATTTTCAATCAGTCCTGGGACTCCCCTAGGTCGATTCAGCCTCAAATGAGTACCCGCTGCGGTGTGTAAACATCGCCACTGGGGAGACAAAGGCGGCCGAGCGTGATACTGGCCTTCATAGGTGCTACTCGCCAACGGAACTTGCCCCAACAGGCTGTTGCAGGCTATAGGGGAGATCTTCGTCTTTGTAATACTCCACTAACCCGAGTACACAAACATATTTAATGACGCTGCTGCGATGGCAGTGGTGGTGCACAAAGCACGGACGAACAACGACGACGAAATAAACCCAACACGCTCCGTGTCAATGCCACTGCCGTGTGCGTGCGTGTTGGGGGGTGGGGGGGGGGGCTTAAAGTGCAAACGAATGTAACAGGGTGACGTTTCGGGCAATGGCCCTTCTTCATAGCATTGCTCACCTAATCAAGCCACCGTTGTGTTGACGAATCTGGCAAGTTCGTTTGTTCTCACGCCCTGGCGAGTGCGACGCACGAGTTATCCGCGAACACACGAGCGCAAACACCTCCCTTAATATTCGCGACGTCTCGCGTTGCCCGGATGTCCGCGAACATTAAGGGTCCGCGTGTTATGTTGAACTTCCTTCGCACCGTACGTAGCCAGCCGTGCTCGATTGGAGGTACCGTTCACTGTGCTCATCGCTTTACGAGCAGCATCGGACATCACATCCCCCTGCCCCCTGTCCACAAAATCCGAACGTATTCGTTCCTTAACCCGTGCATTCGATTTATTCCTGGACAAAGGATTATTTTGTCACTCGACATTTTTTCACGTTGACGCTGCTGCTAGGCTGCCGCGGAGTAAGATGTAATCGGCGTAAGGCACTACTACTACGACCACTACAGCTTCGTTCCCTCCCTTCAGTCCCCATTGTTCACGTCCCTATTAGACCGACACAGCGCTTACTTGCACATGTACCTAACGTTCTTGTTCTTGCTCCCCTCGCTCGCATATTTATGTTGGCACTCTTCCTTTTAGATTCGCGTGTGTTTCATTTCGGAATGTCCAAAACGCCTCCGTTTAACACGTCGGCTTTCGCGACCAATATAATTCATAATATATATATTTTTGTTGGGTTAAATCTAACCAAACAAAAACCTCTTATGGATAAAAACACCTCGTTTGTTCTCTGCACAATATTCCTCCAAGGATTCTGCGTACTCGTTCTCTGCGAGGTCGATGTCTTCGTTCGTGTTGCTGCTGCTGCTGCTGCACTCACGCAGCGCCACGGATCTCCCCGTTTCAAAGAGTCGGGAAACTGTGGCGGCAACGGGATTATAATAATTAAAATAATCTGTGTAACAAATAAAATAAACTCAACCTACAGCACAAGGTACGCCTATCCGTAACATAACACTAACAAGAGGATTTCTCCACAAATCTGGCTGTCGCCTGATGAAGCAAGTTGTAATTACTGGGAGAAACGTCGTACTCAGATTGTAAATGTTGTGGATTTGCTCTCCAACACACCGGTTAGTGCTGTACTCGTGACGAATTGGCCACGTTCTGTTTACGTAACAACCCTTACTAGTTGGCTGTGTCGGGTGGTGGCGGGTATAACGACATATATTTACGCGATATAATCCAAAAACACCTCTTATGGATAATATTGGTCGCTAAAGCCTGTGTTATACATAATGATCCTATATGATTGTACATATACACATACGTGTATCGTCATCGTCATGAAACGAACAGGTTTATGGGAATATTTGGTGCAGTGAGAACGAAACTAGAAACGAAACTTTTTTAGATTTTATTGGCTAAGGCTCCACTGAGCTATGCAGCTATTTTTCAGAAGCGACCTGGCCATCACAAATGACAACTCAACGAAGTGGCTTTATCGCGTGTAAATATATAGCAGCCAAATACTCTTAAGAAGCGCGTGTTTGGTTCCAGTTTTCAAGTTTCATTTATTAGGTATAGCTCTGTGAGCAATGCGGCTCTTAAGTCGGGTGCAACTGCAACAAACAAAATTTGAACACAGAACATCTTAAAGCGACAACGTGTAACAGAAACATAGTGGAATAAACCAGTAAAGATTCAACACAAAAAAAAACCTTATTAAAACGCTGTGTGCAAAAATCAATGTGGTGCAAGCCAACAACAACAACCATCAGACAATTTAGATTAACCATATGTTCTCGAATCACCAAAATAAAGCTATAAAACAATGTAACAACAGTAATCATGGGACCTGTGATTTTACATTTAACAATAAACGATATAATAACACGTACGACAAAACCTGCGGAGCTCTACAGGCGAGGAGATGGAGCAGCCTTCTGGACTGTTCCGGCTGGAAATTCACCACGGCGAAGAACTAACTCGGTCACATAGATCCTGGGCAAACTTGTAGCTGTGTCTACTTGTGTGTCTATATGTGTGTTTGTGTGTCTAGTTGTGTGTCTAGATGTGTGTTTGTGTGTCTAGTTGTGTGTTTAGTTGTGTGTTTAGTTGTGTGTCTAGTTGTGTGTCTAGTTGTGTCTAGTTGTGTGTCTAGTTGTGTGTCTAGTTGTGTGTCCTGTTGTGTGTCCTGTTGTGTGTCTACTTGTGTGTCTACTTGTGTGTCTAGTTGTGTGTCTAGTTGTGTGTCTAGTTGTGTGTCTACTTGTGTGTTTAGTTGCGTGTCTAGTTGTGTGTTTAGTTGTGTGTCTACTTGTGTGTCTAGATGTGTGTCTAGTTGTGTGTCTAGTTGTGTGTCTAGTTGTGTGTCTAGTTGTGTGTCTAGTTGTGTGTCTACTTGTGTGTCTAGTTGTGTGTCTAGTTGTGTGTCTAGTTGTGTGTCTAGTTGTGTGTCTCGTTGTGTGTCTAGTTATGTGTCTAGTTGTGTGTCTAGTTGTGTGTCTACTTGTGTGTCTAGTTGTGTGTCTAGTTGTGTGTCTAGTTGTGTGTCTAGTTGTGTGTCTACTTGTGTGTTTAGTTGTGTGTCTAGTTGTGTGTTTAGTTGTGTGTCTACTTGTGTGTCTAGATGTGTGTCTAGTTGTGTGTTTAGTTGTGTGTCTAGTTGTGTGTTTAGTTGTGTGTCTAGTTATGTGTCTGATTGTGTGTCTAGTTGTGTCTAGTTGTGTGTCTACTTGTGTGTCTACTTGTGTGTCTAGATGTGTGTCTAGTTGTGTGTTTAGTTGTGTGTCTAGTTGTGTGTCTAGATGTGTGTTTGTGTGTCTAGTTGTGTGTCTAGATGTGTGTTTGTGTGTCTAGTTGTGTGTCTAGATGTGTGTCTAGTTGTGTGTCTAGTTGTGTGTCTAGATGTGTGTCTAGTTGTGTGTCTAGTTGTGTGTTTGTGTGTCTAGTTGTGTGTCTAGTTGTGTGTCTAGTTGTGTGTCTACTTATGTGTCTAGTTGTGTGTCTAGTTGTGTGTCTAGTTGTGTGTCTACTTGTGTGTCTAGTTGTGTGTCTAGTTGTGTCTACTTGTGTGTTTACTTGTGTGTCTACTTGTGTGTCTAGTTGTGTGTCTACTTGTGTGTCTAGATGTGTGTCTAGTTGTGTGTTTAGTTGTGTGTCTAGTTGTGTGTTTAGTTGTGTGTTTAGTTGTGTGTCTAGTTATGTGTCTGATTGTGTGTCTAGTTGTGTCTAGTTGTGTGTCTACTTGTGTGTCTACTTGTGTGTCTAGATGTGTGTCTAGTTGTGTGTTTAGTTGTGTGTCTAGTTGTGTGTCTAGATGTGTGTTTGTGTGTCTAGTTGTGTGTCTAGATGTGTGTTTGTGTGTCTAGTTGTGTGTCTAGATGTGTGTCTAGTTGTGTGTCTAGTTGTGTGTCTAGATGTGTGTCTAGTTGTGTGTCTAGTTGTGTGTTTGTGTGTCTAGTTGTGTGTCTAGTTGTGTGTCTAGTTGTGTGTCTACTTGTGTGTCTAGTTGTGTGTCTAGTTGTGTGTCTAGTTGTGTGTCTACTTGTGTGTCTAGTTGTGTGTCTAGTTGTGTCTACTTGTGTGTTTACTTGTGTGTCTACTTGTGTGTCTAGTTGTGTGTCTAGTTGTGTGCTTACTTGTGTGTCTAGTTGTTTGTCTACTTGTGTGTCTAGTTGTGTGTCTAGTTGTGTGTCTAGTTGTGTGTCTAGTTGTGTGTCTAGATGTGTGTCTAGTTGTGTGTCTAGTTGTGTGTCTAGTTGTG